GAGTACAGTGAACAAGTTCTTGAATTTAGTACCAATGAACTAGTGACCATGTTACTTTCCTCAATCTCTTATTATTTCTTCCCCAAACATGGTATTCCCTCATCTTGCCGTATGTCAAAAATTGTGCAGAAAATAAACCTTATCTTCTGAACTTCAACTTCAATATTGATTATTCATCTAATCTATCATCTAATCTATCATCTATCTCTATCTATCTATCTATCTATCTATCAATCATCTATCTATCATCATCATCTATCTATCTAACAATCATCTATCTATCTATCATCTATCTATCTATCATCTATCTATCACCTATCTATCTATCATCTGTCAATCAATCAATCAATCTATCTATCATCTATCAATCTATCTGTCTATTTATCTATCATCTATCTATCATCTATCTTCTATCATCTATCAATCATCTATCTATCAATCAATCATCTATCTATCTATCTATTATCTATCAATCATCTATCATCTATCTATCTATCTATCTATCTATCTATCTATCTATCTATCATCTATCATCTATCTATCTATCTATCTATCTATCTATCATCTATCTATCTATCTATCTATCTATCTATCATCATTATCATCTATCTATCTTCTATCTAATCATCTACCTGTGCTGGATAGCTTTAGTTGTCAACTTGACACAGCTGGGTAGAGGGAGCCTCAATTGGGGAATTTCCTCCATTGGACTGGACTGTGGCCATGTCTGTGGGGTATTTTCTTGATTGTTGACTGATGTGGTAGGGTCCAGCCCATTTCCCCTGGGCAGGTTGTTCTGTATTGTATAAGAAAGCAGGCTGAGCATGGCCAAAAGAGCAAGCCAGTAAGCAGTGTTCCTCCATGGCCTGTGCTCCAGCTCTTGCCTTGTCCCAAGTTCCTACTTTGGGCTCCCCGATGAACCCAGGAGACATAAAACAAACAAACTCTTTCCTCCCCAAGTTGGTAATGGTCAGAATGTTTTGTTACAGCAATTGAAAGCAAACTAGAACTCTCTATCCATCATCTATCTATCATCTATCTATCTATCTATCTATCTATCTATCTATCTATCTATCTATCATCTATCTATCTATCTATCATCTATCTATCTATCTATCTATCTATCTATCTATCTATCTATCTATCATCTACTTGTCTGGTGTTTGTGGATGTATGTGGACAAATGTCACAGTGAATACTGGAGGTCAGAGGGCAACTTGGAGGAGTAGGGAATTGGTTCTCTCCTTCCATCCTGTGGGTCCTAGGAATTGAACTCTGATTGTCAGTCTTGGTGGCAAGCACCTTAACATGCTGAACCATCACGCCAGCCCAGCTTTTTCTTAGAGTTTCACATTGGGGTGTGTGTGTCTTGTTAAGGTTGGAACTACTGAGCTGTATTAATAGCTCCAGTATTGTCTTAATAGTCTTAAATAGTAACATTAAACCACATGTAGTAAAATTGTCCCTGACTGCTATTTGAAACATTTTTTTTTGGATTTATTTAACATTTTTTTTGGATTTATTTACTTATATTTTATGTTTATGAGTGTTTTGCCTGCATGTATGTAAGTATACCATGTGTGCAATGCCTGTAGAGGCCAGAAGAGGGTATAAGATTCTCTGGAACTGGAGTTATGGACAGTTATTAGCCACCATGTGGGTACTGGAAATTGAAACTGGGTCCTTGGCAAGAGCAGACAGTGCTCTTAACCTCTAAGTCGTTTCTCCAACCCCCTGTTTTTTTTTTTTTTTAAAGTTAATCACTTGATGAAATATCTTGGACTGGACCAAAACAAATCCCTGAAAAAAAACAACTGTTGAATCTAAGTAGCAGGTGGGTGGATGTCATGATTCTTTCAGCATTTCCTTTTGAAAAGCTCCTTAACATTATCGAGTGAGTACATTTACAATCATTGGGATTATCCAGTACCAACTGTCCCGAGTGAGGCTGCCTAGCACAAGGACCTGTGTGGGCCTTCTGTGGCCAACTCTGAGGCTAAATGCTAGCATGGAAAAGCAGAAGAGCCACCCTTGGGAATTCAGTTCTTGTCTTTCTTCCTGACTGCCCACCCCACTCTTGCTTCCGAACTCTTCACTGAATTCTTGCATATCCTCTGAGAGCTCAGCGTTTTGATGTTGCAGGCAGCCTCTGGCTGCAAGGTTCATGTATTTGTCAGTTTGGAGCCAAGTGTGCCTTTCTCCATCCACAGAAACCCAGAATAAAATGAAGAAATAAATTATACCCTTTATTATGTGCTTGAGAATCTTCTGATAACTGCTTGGGAAAAATCAAGTCTGTAGATTTTGTCTTGGGAAATTGACTCTGTCACCATGATGGTCAGAAACAGCTACATGCTGATTAATATTTACAGATGAAATTATTGCTATACCTGATTGATAGCTCACATCCTCCACCTTCAGGAAGATGACCTCAGGTGTCACAGCCTGGCTTCACCTACTCCCACAGATAAAGACAGGGTGACTTATGACTGTATTAAACAAACTATTCTTTCAGTCTTGGACAGTAGCTCCATGTGAAGGGTCCTTTCCAGAATGCTCATTGTTCCCAAAGTCTCTGGGGACGAGCAGACTGACCAGTTTTCTCCATATAAGCACAGTCAATTTCATTGAGCTAGAGACTGGTGGCAAATCCCACTCTGTAGAGCTTCTTGGGAGGTTTGGGGAGCAGTGGTGTTTATTTGTACTGGACTTCAGGGCTTGAATGAAAGTTAAAAGGTTGGGCAGGAGGGGCAGGAGATATGGCTCAGTGGGTAAGAGCACTGACTGCTCTTGCAGAGGACCCGGGTTGGGTTCCCAGCACCCACATGGTGGCTAACAACTATCTGTAACTTCAGTTCCAGGGGATCCAATGCCTGCTTCTGGCCTCCACAGGCACTGCACTCACAGATGCACTCACATACATGCAGGTAAAACACTCATACACTTAAAATTAAAAAAAAAAAAAGTGGCGGGAGATAGAAGAGAGCCCTGAAATTTTGTTGGTAACCAACTTCTGAGACATACCAGGGTGCTCTGAGACCACAGTGCCTTCTGGACACCAACACAGCTCCTTCAATGCTGCTAAATTTACATAGTTATGTCTTAACGATATTGTATGTGTATGATATGTTTGTGCATGATGTCTATGTGTGCATGAGCATGCATTTACAAATGTGAATGAGGGTGTGAGTGTGCCACAGCTACAGTGTGGAGATTAGAGGACATCCTTGGTTGTAGATCCTCACCTTCTTTCATATCTGAGAGAGGGTCCTCTATTTGTTGTCTACTTCTGGGTGGCCACGCTAGCTGGTCCACAAGCTTCCAGGGATTCTCCTGTCTCTGTCTTCTATCTCACTATAGGAGAGCTGGGATTACAAATGTGCACTCCCATGCCCAGCTTCAAAGTGGGTTCTGGAGATTCAAACTTAGGTCCTCATGCTTACATAGCAAGTGCTTTCTCCATTGAGCTATCGCCCAAGTCCTTAATATTTTCTGGCAAAGATTTATTTATCTATTTATTTATTTCTATTATTTTTGAGACAAGGTCTTGCTGAGTAGCCCTGACTGGCCTGAAACTCGCTATGTAGACCAGGCTGGCCTCAAACTCACAGAGCTCTGCCTGCCTCTGCCTCCCACGTACTGAGATTAAAGGTGTGTGCCACCATGCCTGGCTGAGTGTGTCTGTGTGTATGCACATGTGCATGGGAGTGCCCAAGGAGGCCAGAAGAGGGTATTGGAGGCCCTTGAGCTGGAGTTGTAGTTGTGAACTGCTTGATGTGGGTACTGGGAACCAAACTCTGGCACTCTGAAAGAGCAGCAAGCACTCATAACCATTGGGTCATTTCTCCAGCCCCTTAATATTAGCTTTTCATTATAGGTGAAATGATGTGGGGCTGCAGCTGTACTCAGTTGGTAGAGTGCTTGCCTAGCGTGCATGAAGCCCCTGGGTTCAGCCCCCAATACCACATAAAGTGTAATCCTAGCACTTGGGAGGTTGAGCCAGGAGAATCAGAAGTTCAAAGTCATCCTTGGCTACACACTAATGTCAAGGCCAGCCTGAGATGCAGGAGAGTCTGTCTTAGAAAAAAATGATGTGACAACATAAACAAGTTCTTGAAAGGAAAAAGTATTTCTGGTACTACTCTAAAATAACCTTTCTGAAGTTGGGCAAGGTGGCACATGCCTTTGATCCTAGCACTTGGGAGGCAGAAACAGGCATATCTCTGTGGGATTGAGGCCAATCTGGTCTACATATCGAGTTCCAGGCCATGTGGGGCTACGGGGAGACCCTCTCTCAAATCTCAAACCCTTTCCCCGGGTGGGGGGGGTACTTTTCCATTTTTTGTGTGATTTTTTTTTTTTAAGTAGAATGGACAACATCTGGCAGGTCTTCACTTATACTACCATGAAAATTATTATGTTTCTATAACAAACATTCAAAATGACATTTTTAGTAGCTGTAATGCTGTATCATCTCTCTATACTGTGTTTTACTAAATTCTATATTATTGGATATGTAAGTTGTCTTCAGTTTTTTTTTTCTTTCTCTTTGAGATAGTGTCTCACTCTGTAAGTTCAGGCTGGGCTCAAACTCAAGACCCTCTTGCCTCAGCCAGGCAAGAACCACAAGTAAGGGTCAGCTCACTTCTGGTCAGGGAAGAGGAATAGAAGTTCATTACAAGGATGACATTTAAAACTGGGACCATGAGGATTCAGGAAAGGAACAAGGGCAGGTTGGGAGGGAAAAGGCAGAAGTTTGTGCAGGCAGTGCCATTGTGAAGGAGTGAAACAACCCAAGTGCTGCCCCCTTACCTTTGCTTGGTGCTCGATTTTGTAGGCAGTCTGCTGAAACTGGCGAATCTCTCGGATAATATGGGAGATCTGTGGAAGGCAGGGGAGTTTTAGAAGATAGTCTGCTCTTTCAGAGCCACCCTGAGCCATGGACTCCTGGAAAGCCTGCTGGCCACCAGCTGCTGGCTTCCAAGGCACTCCTTCTTTGTATGGACCAGCTGTGCTAATGTGGGTGGGGTGGATGGGGTGGTGATAAAGAGAACTCCTTTAATCAGTGCTACAGGCTTCCAGTGCCACTACAACCAAGCCTTGGGCCTCCAGCCAAAGTGAGAGGCAGGTGGGCACCTACTGTGTGCACGTCATGATGTACAAGGGCTATACTCTATCACCAGGACAAAGCTCTCAGTTTAGGTCTGAGAGACACACTTTTTACTAAATGTGGAAGTACATTTTACAAAACGGGTACCAGCTGAACATCCTCCCAATCTACCCTCACGGGTTCTGGATCTTTTGGCACTTGCTCTCTTAGGAGGTATTGCTGCATAAATTATTTAAAAAATTATTTTAAAATTTATGTGTATGTATGTGTGCCTGCTTTTGTGTGTGTGTCCTGTGCATGCAATGCCTGCAGAAGCCAGAAAAGGGCATCCGATCTCCTGAACTGGATGTGAGTGCTGGGAATGGAACCTGGATCCTTTTCAAAAGTAGTAAGTGCTCTTAACCACTGAGCCATCTTTCCAGGCCCCAAAAGTAATTTTTCTTTAGTTACACAAAGCAAGTGCTTCTATGGTTACTAAGGGATGGGGTATGAAGAGAGGTGTGGGCTTTGGAGTCAGACCCAGGCTTCAGAGATGGCTCTTCTCTTTATGTGCAGGAGACCTTGAACAGATTACTTGCTCTCACCAAACCTCCCCTGTAGGGTGGGTGATAAATGCCCTTGTTTCTCAGGCTTCTGGGTTGAAGCAGAGAAAAGTAGGGAATGCAGGGTTAATGGTGTTAGTGATGGTTCTTAACGGAGGCCTCCCAGTGAGGTGTACATGGAGCAGATGTACGAGACATAGGCTGGGGTAGAAACTGTGTGGCTCATTCTGGGGTTTGTGTCCCTTCACCTGCCCAGGGAAACATACCATTCTCATCTTGGAGAAGTTGACCAGGCCGTCCTCTGTGTAATTGGGTGTTCCCTCCTCGATGAAGGCCAGGTCGGTGAGGTACATCCCCAAGTAAGGGACACAGGGTGGGTCACAACTTGGAAACAAATGGCATCCACAAAAGTTTTTCACTTAAGGAAAGGAACTTCTGCTAAGAACCGAACAGTCTGCATGCAGATTCTGCCTGGCTAGAGGCAATGGAGTTTCTAGTTACCAAGAATCACAGTGCACACTCCGGGCCTAGGACTGCCAGTTGGGCCCAAGGGTGGGGTGGGGGCTTCCGGGACCCTCACACTCAGACTTGGGGAAGGGTCTCACTTGTGTCTCCTCCCTCTGTAACCCAGAATACCCTCTCCTACCTCTATTGCAGTGGAGTCCCTGGGCTGTTCCCTGCCTTCTCCTGGTCCACTGTGTTTTCTCCAGAGAGTTTGTGTTCAAGTCTTCCCTGAGTCACCTCTGGGAAGGTTGTGTCGCCTACCTCCAAGTCCTAGCAGTCACCCTGTGCAGCACCCCTGAGACCTATCCTATCTTCTGCCACCTAGGTTTGGGGGCCACAGCAGGAAGCCCTCTGAGTACTTTCCTGGAGGTGTTTTCTGGGCAGGGGGATCATGGTGGTGACCTTATTTGTGGTTTCAGGAGATGAGATTAGTGCAATGGGCCAGGCTTCTGATGTGTGGCTCTGAGCTGAGGCTCCTGTCCCTGCTCCATGCCAACTAGTGCCTTGGGAGGGTGCAGAAGGCCTGATGGGTTCTGTGATGGAGTCAGTGGCCACAACCCTCCCTTCACCAGCTTCAGGGGGCTCCACAGACAGTGCTCTGGCAGCCACCTTTCAGCTCAGCACAGAGATGCCAGAGGAACTGCTCCTTAGGGAGCTGTTCCTGCCATGCTGGAGGAAAGTAAGGCAGGGGGGATGGCAGTGCCAGAACAGAAGCCTGTCCCTGTCCCTCACCTGGTGCTGTGTGACCCTGGGCCAGTCCTTCCCCTCTGTGTTCCTTAGGAACCCCATGCACAATAGCACTGATGTCAGTTCAGACAATTATAGGAGGTTGGGGAGTAGATTTTATGTGATGTGTAGAACTATATTAAACAACATAGATCCGTATGTATGAGATACTCTGATTTTTACTTCCCCCTTGAGCACCAGAAGAGCCTTTCTTGGTAGCTGGTATGGTTTTGGCCCTGTCAACATTCACCATTCTTTTCCCTATTGCGTGTGTGTGTGTGTGTGTGTGTGTGTGTGTGTGTGTGTGTGTGTTTAAATAAACAGACTGTAACAGGTCTCAGTATCAGAGTGCTGGGCAACATCAGTATCCAGTCAGAATCTAATTAGTGCTTTGTTTTCCTCATATTTACATTTATTATAGGAACTGTATATTTACAAGTATGTTGGGTTTTTCATTTATCATTAGGATATATATTTTCTCTTATTTAAATCTATCTATCATCTATCTATCTATCATCTATCTATCTATCTATCTATCTATCTATCTATCTATCTATCTATCTATCTATCTATCTATCTATCTATCTATCTATCTATCTACCTATCATCTATCAATCATCTATCATCTATCTATCTATCTATCTATCTGTCTGTCTGTCTGTCTGTCTATCATCTATCGTCTATGTTGAGACAGAGTCTCCCTGAAGCCTCAGCTGACCTGGAACTTGCTATGTAGGCCAGGCTGGCCTTGAACTCACAGAGATCTACCTGACTCTGCCTCCTGAGTGCTGAGAGTAAAGACATAGCCACCTTGTCTGGCTAAATTTATTTTTGAGATTAAGTGAATCAATTCAAAGGAGACTGTTAAGTACAGTTGGCCTGTGGACATGGGAAAATGGTATAAGAGGTGGATACTAGCATTAAAGAAATAGTAGAACCTTCTTTCCCCCCACAGTACTAGAAACAGAGCCCAGGACTTCCCATGCTAACAGCCATCCTACTACTGAGTTTCATTTCCAGCCCTACTTTCTCTTTTTATTTTAAAATAGGGTCAAGTTAAGTTGCCCAGGCTGGCCTTGAACTTGCAGTCCTCCAGCTTCAGCCTGGAGTAGCTAGGATTCCAGGCATGTGTCACCAGGCCCAGTGGGCAGAACCGTTTTCTGTATCTTGACCCTTTCATGAATGTTGAAGAGGGTGTAAAAACAAAAACAAAAACAAAAAAAACAGACAAAGTCAGGAACAGAACAGAAAATACTCAAATTCTTTGCATAATAAAGGTAAATGTTATTCTGTGAAATTTCTGCTCCTACTATGCATAACGTTTGCAGTTTCATATTTTACTATTTATATCTGTCTACCTACTTACCTACCTGCCTGCCTGCCTAGGGTTGAATCCAGGTTCTTGCACATGTTAGGAAAACATTCTACCACTGAGCTATACCCCTAGTGTATATATAGTTTTACTGTGCATTGTGATAAACTTAAAGGAAGGATCCCCCTATGTTTTTTTGCCTTCTAGTTGACATTAGTTACATGTTCAGCTTCTAAGTTCCCTTTTGACACTCAAATTGCAGACCCAGGCTGCTTCATCTGACAGAGAAGGAACCCTCAGGTCTGAGAAACGTCTTGAAGGCTATGGCAGGCTCCTGGGCTGCTCTTTCTTTTCCCTGTTCCCTCAGCACAAGGTGGCAGTCGGTTAATCCTGGGGTGCCTGAAGGTCAACAGGGAGGATGGCTGGGGACTGCCAGCAGACTGCCAGTGGGGTAGGTTTCCCTAAGGTATTTATGTAGGTTTTCCATTCAGTTGTGAGAAAGTGATTCATTTTCAATTTAATAACTTGCAAGTGGTGTCAGCAATGCCTAGACCAAACACTGTCCCTATTTACTGCCTCATAGTGAGGGGCCCTAGGAGGGGCTAGACCACATTTAATTAATCTCTCTCAGATGCCGCCCCCCCCCCCCCCCCCCACCCAGCATGGCTTGTAGGTAAATGTCTAGGGTTACCAGAATGGGATACAGGATTGGTCCCTTGAACCACACTGAGCATTGAAATGGAAGCATGCTGGGGCTTCATGTATGCAAGACACCCACGTCCATGTGGGCACTGAGGCCTTCCTCAGGTAGGATCGAGGCATGCCCTTGGCTAGGACATGGCTAGGGAGGGGCGCTTCCTTGGTTTGCAAAACCCTTACATGCCTGTGGCAGACATAAGGTGGTCTGGGGCAGGGCTGGGTGGGCTGAACCTAGGAATCAGGATCAAGGTCATAATTAGGTGCTCAGAAGACATTGCAGTGGGGTGGGGTAGAGATTCCTCTTTCTCTCCCTCTATTTCCCCCTCCTCTTCCTTTTCCTCCTCCTGGATAGCTTCAAACTCACTATGTAGCTGAGGCTAGCCTTGAGCTCCTGGTCCTCCTCCTGTGTACACCTCCCAAATGTGGAGATTATTGGCATGAGCCACCATGTTGGTCTTATCTTGCTTTTTGCTACCTGGACACCAACCACTTTGTTGCATTACCAGGAAGTTGAGCTTTGCTGTGGGGGTCATAAGTAGAAAATCAAGGTAGAAACAGCTATCTTTGTTGGAGTCCCTGAAACTCTTAGCCCATCAGAATGCCAGTGTTTGGACTCTTCATGTTCCTAGAAAAGTGGATTTGCATCCTGTTTAAATGTTGTATGTGATGGCCTGGGTACACCTCCATTGTTGTTCCTGCCTTAGTTTAGGGAAACAGCCTACAGTAAAAGCCTGTATTCCTCTAGATCAAGGACTTCTACTGAAATGAGAGAAAAAAGGTGTGCAGATATGTAAATGGGAGCTGGGCTGAGATTAGACAGGCAGTGAGATCTGGAATCTACTCTGAAAGAACTAGGGGTAACATTTTACTACTAAATTCAGTTTTTGGATACATGAGACCTGGTCACAGAAAAAAATAAACAAAACAAAGTTAGTTCTTGGCCAGAAACTTTGTTTCCTGGAGCTAGAAGAAGGTTCTGACCACCAAGAGGTTGAGAGGAAGGGAGTGCCTCATAGGTTCTGCAAGGGTGCAGGTTTACGCAATGTGGAAGGGAGATGGGTCACTCTTGAGGTGCTTGGGCAGGGGCTGAGTTGGTACACATAGCAAGGGTTGTAGGTGGGCCAGGCAGACATTTAAGAGCAGGGCTAGGAGGCTCGGATACAGGATTTAGGGAGAAGACTCAGCTAGTGCAGGCAATAAGGTCATTCTCCAGCCAGATGCTGGAACAAGATTGGGTATTTTATTAATTTTAATAATACATTTTATTTACTTCATAGTTTATATGTATGAGTGTTTTGCTTGCATGCATGTAAGTGTGCATACAAGTTGTGCAATGCCTGCAGAGGCCAGAAGAGGCCGTCAGATTCCCTGGAACTGGAATTATGAATGGTTGTTAGCCACCATGTGGGTGCTGGGAACCAAACCTAGGTCTTCTTCAAGAGCAGCCAGTGCTCTTAACCACTGAGCCATCTCTCTAGCCCCAAGATTGAATAGTTTAAGGACAGTGTTAGGTAGCTAGTAAGATATAGCAAGGCTTATAGGTCATTGGGGCTAGATCCTACCCTCATAATCTATATCTTGTAAAACCAAGGATTAAAACTATAGAATTGTGGTCAAAAGAATAGGATCTGAGTTATATCTATCCCTGGTGGAGATATGACATTTATTTTTTGAGACAGTTTCATGTCCAGGCTGTCCTCAATCTTGAACTTCTGATCCTGCTGCTTCTATCTCCCCAGTGCTGGGATTACAGGTGTGTACCATCATATCTGGTTTTATGTGGTGCTAGGGATTGAAATCAGAGCTTCCTGCATGCTAGGCAAGCACTCTACTAGCTAAGCTACATTCCTAGCCTGAGGTATGATATCCTGAACTGCCTGAAAGGTCAGTAATAGATAACTCTCTAAATCTAGTAAGATTACCATAGAACTAAAACATATTATTGTCCCTCTCTTAAGAGTTAATACAAATGGACCTGTCAATCACCTGGGAAGGAAAATGTCCCACCCCTCTGGAAAGTGTTCCAGAGACTTGAGAAATATTGTGAAATCTACCTAAACATGTGTCAACACAATGGTCCCTTTGACCACTGTCCACTCACACCCCTTGAAAGTGTATATTTTGAACTCTGCAATAAACTGTCTTCTACACTACAGTGTGTTCTGCCAGCATTCTTGTGTGTGTGTGTGTGTGTGTGTGTGTGTGTGAGAGAGAGAGAGAGAGAGAGAGAGAGAGAGAGAGAGAGAGAGAGATCTCCCTGTAGCCCCAGCTGGTCTAGAACTCACTCTGTAGACCAGGCTGCCCTTGATCTCACAGAGATCCACCTGCCTCTGCCTCTGCCTCTGCCTCTGCCTCTGCCTCCTGAGAGCTGGGACTAAAAGTGTATACCACCTGGCTTTTAGTCCACGGAGATCACAAGGACTTGGAAGCTGAGGGAAGTTCAGAACAATAAGCCAGGGACAATAGGCTGAAAAGGATGCCAGGGACCCATGAATGGGGTTGAGGACCCACATAGGAGACCCATTTCAGGACTCCTCATCTAAGTGTGTGTTACTGATTCTGCCTTGTGTTGCCTTACATCTTCTGCTCTTTGCCCTGTCTGTTCAAACAGACCCTGGGGCATCACTGTACATGGTGTGCCCTCCATCTCCACAGGGCCAGATCTGGCTTACAGAAAGATCCTACTTCCCAGAACACATGAAAGCCCTCTGCCTCAGGCAGCAGAGGGTTCTGGGGGAGGCACTTACACAGGTGACCTGAAAGGGAAGACAGTCAGGAGAGGGACTCAGACAGAATGGGGGCCACAGAGGCAGTGAGGTGGCGGTGGTGGCTGCGGTGGACGAAGAAGCCATGTGAAGGAGGCAGATGGAGCAGCACCCAGGGGCAGACGGACAGTTGGTGAATGTACAGTGGGGCAGCTCCCCACAAGCACAGTCCACAGGGGCTCCTGGGAGCCCAGGCGGAGGAGAGACGGCCGGACAGCACAGATGGGTGCAACATCTGTCTGAGGACACAAACAAAGTGGAGATGGTCAAGGCGATGGCACATGGAGCAGGAGAAGGACGGACCGAGTAGGGAAAGAAGGAAACAAGAAGGAGGCAGGTGAGGCTGACTAGGGAGAGGGGATGAGCAGGGCCTCTCAGCCAATGTCAAGGGCTGAAGGCGCTGGCTGTCCCATTCCCAGGTTCAGTGACTTCCATTGGGGCTCTGACTGGGGATCATGAGATCCTTTGTAGAAGGGAGGAGAGGACTCTTGCGAGTTATAGGGATGCAGCACCCCTGGGGTCTCCCAGGGCTGCTCCAAGTTCCATAAAGGAGCTAGCCAGACTGGGAGATACAGGGACAAATAAGGGCAGAGCCCAGTGTGGAAGCCTGAAGAATGCAGCTTGGGAGCAGTAAAAGCAGAGCTTTTCAGAGCTTCATGTCTTTTCAGAGCTCCTATCTCATGATGGCCAAAGCATGTACAAATGAATTGAATCATGGCCTGTCTGGGAGAGGGGCCTGAACCTAATGGGATACTGCCCAAGGCAGATAGCAGAGCACAGGCCTTGGAGGCCAGCCTGGGCTGAATCTTGGCACTAACACCGTGGCATATCCTAGGCACAACCACTAGGATATCCTAGGCACAACTCAATTTTGTCTGGACAGACAGGATGGGGAGAGCTGCCCAGTGGTGGGGGCTCTTAATGTCTAGAGATGTTTCTGGCTTTTTTATGTGGAGAGATGCCATTAGAATCTTGTGGAGGAGGCCAGGGGCGCTCTGAGGGAGCCCACAGCACACAGAACCACTCTCGAACACAGAACCATCCTGGCCCAAGAGAAAACAATGTTGGGGTTCAGAAACATGCCTCCCAGGCAGCACCAATCGGGACTCAATAATGAGCCAGGGAGGCTTCTTGCAAACTGTAAGGTAAAGTCGTTCACCATTGGTAAAATCCTATTATGTTGAATCCAAGATGGTACTGTGTGTAACGTGCACACTCATTTTGACTAGGTCCTCAGGAGAACAAGAAATACAACCATATTAAATAAACACATTGACTTGACATTCACAGTTATTGGTGTCATTAAAACAAGAAAGAAAAGTGCATTTGAAAATTCAAGAAATTGATAAATTGCTCTTGTGGATTCCAGGATCCCTTTTGCACTTTTCCTGGAAAATGCCACCAAATACTGACTGGTGAATGTTGGAGCAGAAAGCCAACCCACTACAGGAGTCTGGGGAGTCTAGGGGTCTTGTGGGTAGACAGACAGACAGACAGACCTGCTGCTCTGACAGGTGTGGTGCATAGATGCCTCTGCAATGTAGGTCTAGAGTTTTAAACACAACAGTGATGGAAGGATGATGATGATGCACCACTTACTTTTTCAGAGCTTCTCTGAGGTTCTTAAATCTGCCCTCTGATGACACAAGCTTTTGGAGCTTGTCAATCAAAGCTTTTGTCTAGAAGGAATTAAAAGCATTTACTAACACATGGACACACATCCAGGCCCCAGGCTCTGACCCACAATCTATCATGCTGCCCTGAGGGCTCCAAACCACATTTGGATTTGGAGACTTTCTGTGTCTGGGAACCTCACCCCTGAACTCCTTAGGAGGCAGGCCTGGTTTTTGTCACATGGGCCCTTCCCCACACACATCTCCCAGAACACAGAAGTGCGCAATGCCACTTGTACCATTGCGGGATCTTGAGAACTGTGGTTTAGAAGGACTTGGTGGGTGACCTGAGGGAGCTTGCATTCAAAGCTGAGAAAACTGAGTTTGAGTTTTCATCATGATGATTTTTCTTTTGTGGTGCCAGAGACTGAACCTGGGGCCTCAAGTATGCTAAGCAAGTGACCTACCACTGAGCTATAGCTCAGCCTTTATGATCTTTTCATGAGCTATCCCTAAAGGAACTGACCATCTTCTTACTCCTTCACGTTGATGGGCCAGGGACACCACCCAAGTTTAAGAACTGTGGAGAAGGATGGCAGATGAACTGTCATCCAAGAAGGAATGACCTGGGTGGGAAAGAGGACCTCTGGCAAAGGGTATGGGAAATGACCACCAGGCCTGGCTCACACATGACTGGGGCAGAGTACAGGAGACTGAGTTTGTCTGGAGAGAGCAGCTACATTCCCAGGAAAGTGAACTGCATTGGACCTGACTCTGTGCTCCTTTCCCTGTGCAGCCTGGTGGATGCCACTTTACCTCTGAGGTCCTCAGCACCCTCATTTAGGAAAGAGTGGAAAGGATTAATAACTCCCCTTCCAGCTCTGGCCCTCAAAATTCAGAATGTGGCTGAGAAACTGTGCTGAGAATGGCAGTATACCACATGATCAGAAGCACTAATCAGCCCAGGAGGGATGTGGCTACAGGCCAAAGTGTGCTCAGTCACCAAACAGGATCACATTAAGTCTCCATGCTGGAGAAGCCCAGTGTGTGTCCTTCAGGACAAGGAGAGGCTAAGAATACTTTGATTGGTTTGATGCCTTAGCAACTAGGAGATGAAGCATTGGTGTCTGGTTTGGGCTGACCCCACTGAAAGCACAAATGTATTCTGGATCTGGTGACAGTCATGGGACAGGAGAAGAGAAGTCATATGAAGACACACCAAAAGGCAGGTGACTCTGAGTTTTCTTGCAATGTCAGCTTTCAGCAGCCTGGCAAAGCCCACATTCCCAGGCCAACCTCTACCAGGATCCTCCTGTTCTGACATTCCTGCACCAGTCTTTTCCCAGAGTGGCACCCTCTTGTCTAACCATCTACAGAGGAATTACCAATGGCCTGAGGTCAGACATGAGGACTGAACACCAGGAGACCTGGGGCCTCCTCAGGTTCTATCACCACCATCAGCACATACGTGGGCGAATCCCCTGTCATCCTGATGGGCCTCTGCTGTCCATGTGAAAAACAGGAGTATAAATTATCCAGACATTTCCTAAGGGCAATGCTAGTTTAGATATGGTAGATTCTGGAAGATAGAAGCTAGATCAAGAGACCCTATTCATGAGACTCTGGGTGAAGAGATCCATGATTCAAGGCCATGAAAATGTACACAGGCTTTTTAAAAATTTAAATATTTATTTTATTTTGTGTCTCTGTGTGTATGTGTGTATGTGAGTGTGTGAATGCGGGTGTCTATGGAGGTCAGAGGACAAGCCTTGAGAGCTGGTTCTCTCCTTCCACCATGGGCTCCAGAAATTGAACTCAGGTTACCAGGCTTGCATGGCAAGTGCCTTGACCTACTGCTGAGCCATCTTACTGCTCTGCATGGCTACTCTGTAAAAAAGTTTTTTGAATTGTATTTATTTTTATTTTATATGTAAGAGAGTTTTGCCTGCATGTATGTAAGTGTATCTATATTGTGCAGTGTTCACAGAGGCCAGAAGAGTGTGTTGGATCCCCTGGAACTGGAGTTACAGATGGTTGTTAGCTGCCATGTGGGTGCTGGGAACCGAACCCAGGTCCTCTACAAGAGCAGCCAGTGCTCTTAACTGTTGAGCCATCTCTCTATCCCCATACACAGGCTATTCTGATGTGTGAGGACCAACTATGGCTCTGAGCAGGGCACAATTTGATTCCTTCTGCATCCCTGTGCCTGCTGTGTGTACAGATCCTAACATACTCTATCCAGGAAGGAATTTGGGATGTCATGGAACCTTCCTATTGAGTTCCACCTTGAAGCAAGGCATGTGTGTTTTAGCTGGGCCAGGAGCGCCCATCCTTTGATGCTCCCTGGAGAGCTAGGCCCCAGCATCTTGAGCCATCTGCTTGAGTGTGGACAACAGTGGGCAGAAAAAGAAGAACTAGATATAGCCCAAGAACCAGGGACCGTGCAAAGAGCCTGCTTCAGAAACACTGTCAAGAAAAAAGATGCTTATGTGGCCTCTGAAATACCTTCCCTTCCTGCTTACCAATTAGAAGACATCTAGTAGCCAAGAATGCGTCCTCCCAAAGAGGCCAAAACATACTGTGAGCTGAAACCAGGCTCTTTTTCCTATAGATACAAACACCCTGGGGTGAGGAAATGGGCACCTTACCTATTGCTGCCACCCCACGGAGTGGCATCAGACCCTTCCCTGAGGGACAGAGACTGTTTGAAAGATGATGGGGGAGTGGAGTTGAATGCAGAAGGGAGAAATGAAAAGTTCCAAACGATACTCAATTCTCATGTACTGCTGGGCTGTACTTGACATTATACTTTACTGAATTAGACCAATACACTTAAGAGAGTGATAAAAACAAGACTGTGTTTCAGGCTTTCCAGGAAATGTGCCCATTCTGGTGGGTCACAAGAGTTCTGCAGAGAGATAATGATCCTGGCTGGTGCTGGCAGGGCCATGGCCAGGGTCTCCCAGAAGCCTTTGAAGCCAGGTATTGTGCAGATGTATAACTACTCCACAAACGGAAGGGCAGGAGAAGCCAGGGCTTCAGTCTGCCATCAAGGGTGGAGGCCTGCATGTGCTGCCAGAGGCATCCTTGACTTTTAGACCAGGCCAGCTTGAATGACGTTTTATAATACAGACCAGGCTGCATATGTTCATCACTAACTTAGATTGAATACTTGGGAGAGAACGGAAGATTTTAGAATGGTCATGATGGTCCCCTTCCCCCAAACTCCATGAGGAGGATGATGCTGGTGGATGTATCCAAGAAATGCAAAATGTGAGTTCCAGCATGAATCTAGTGGGTGGGGAAGTGAAGCCTGGTCTGGAGGTCAAGGAAAGGATGATATCATTCAATAGTACAGAAAGGGAGGAGAAAGAGAACTATCTAGAATGGGCTTCTCATAACCCTGCCTGAACCCTGACAAGCCATATGGACTCAGATGACTTCTGCAGGGGCTTGCTCAATCTCTGACTTCAGTTTATAACCCAATATGCCTGTGCAAAGCTCCCAGATTTTGTTCTTTCCTGGAGCCACTAACAATAAAGGCATCTTCCATGGCCCTAATCCTGGCCTGGGCACCTCAATGTGTCAAGAAGTGAGAGGCCCAAGTGAGAGGCCCAAGAAGTGAGAGTGTAAGGGGGTGGCCCTGCACTCTGTGCTGTATTCAGAGTCTGGAGTGCCTGGAAGGTGGGGAAGGATAGAAGACATGGCCCAAAGCCATGAGTTTGGCAGCTTGTGTAATTAAGATTTATGGAGCTACTGCCTACTTGGTGAGTAAAATCATGACCTGTCAGTAGCACAAGGAAGAGAGTCAGAAGCAGATGACAGAGAGAACATGAAAGGGATGCAAGGTGTAAATCCACAATGATGCAGATGAAACAGGCTCCTTAGAGATGCTGGGTCCTGCATGGTCCACTCAGTCAAAGGACCACAGATATCACAGTCACAGCATAAGTGCCTTTAGAGGCTTCGCTGTCCTGGTGGTGCTTGTCTAGCCTTCTGCAGACATGTAAGCTGAGGTCTCAGCACCCACCAAGTTCACCAAGGAAATGGTTGATGTGCCTCACTGTGCTCTCCATCAGGGATAACTACTCCTCATGACCCTAATGTGCAGAACTTAATTCTGAAAAACCAGAAGATGAATTCTTTTGGGAGAATAATGTTTTGGATGAGCATAGATCAAACTCATGTTTAAGATGACTAATTATCCAGTAGGTGACAGGGACCAGTTAACTCTGGTGGCCAGATGACTGGGGAAATTGGATTCTTGCATGAAATCATCTTAGTCACCCACTAGTCATGGCCGGGAGCCCTCACGAAGCCACTACTCTTGTCCTAACCCAAGCAGAAGAGTGTTAATACCAATCATCACATCCTTACAGTTGCCCAAGTAGGAAATGGTCCCAGAAGTGCCACTGCTACATATGTAGGCCTGACAGCTGGTCCTAATTGACATGCTTTTCCTGTGAATGTGGACCCTCAGCCCAGTCCTTTTGCCCACTTGTGGGTGCTTAGTGGCCAGCTCTCTGGTCTCCTTGCTCCAACCCCAGCTTAGCCCCAGCTGGCAGCAGTGCCAATCTCCTGCTCGCACCTGCTTAGAAACTTTGAGCCATGTCTTTTTGAGCCGGAAGATGGCACTCCGGTTCATGGAGGAGGTGATCTCCAGCACAGCGTTGTAGTTGTGTAAGCAGCGGCATATGTCAGCCACAGCCACCCACTTCTCAATGGCGCTCACCCTTGCATTGATGTCCTCATTGCGGATAATTTCTGAAGCAATCAAGTTACTGATCTTTAAGCCAATGCAGTAAGACAGGAAAAAAGTAAGAGGAATAAAAATTGTAAAGATAATAAATCATCATTATTTGCAGACACAATTTCCTGTTTGAAAATTCCAAAAGAATGAACTGGAAAACTATTGAAACAAATAATATACAAAATGGGAAAAGTTTTGCTATAAATTAGCAAAAATCAATTAAAAAATACAATGAAGCTAGGTGTGGTACACGTGCCTGTAATTCCAGTACTTGGAAGGGTAGGCAGAGGGATCCAAAGTTTGAGGCTAGCCTGGGCTAATAGTAAGACCTTGCCTTTATGGAAAGTAGTGTGGAGAACTCTTAAAAAACTAAAAATGAACCTACCACATGACCCAGTTATACCACTCCATGGCATATACCCAAAGGACTCATCCTATTGCAGAGACACTTGAACAACCATGTTTGTTGCTGCTCTTTTCACAATAGCTAAGAGATGGAAGCAACCTAAGTGCCCTTCAACTGATGAGTGGATAACACAAATGTGGTATATTTACACAATGGAGTTCTATTCAGCAGTAAAGAAAGATGAAATAATGAAATTTGCAGGTAAATGGATGGATCTAGAAACTGTTATACTAAGTGAAGTAACACAGACTCAGAAAAATAAATGACATATGTTCTCCCTCATACGTGTGTCCTAGCACCAAATCCTTTTAAATTCCAGCTCCTTTTAATAAGATGATGATATACAGCAGTCCCTTCTGTATGAAATAACTACCATCATCATGACTTCGGCTAGCCTGATTGCTAAACATAGTCACAATTGGGCTTGCTGACAGTTGTGCTCATTCATTAGGAGGGCCAAGCAGGGTTACTGG